GCCTCGAATTAGTTACCCAGAGGCAGAGGATGGGTTATAACGCCTCGAGTAGCACAGATGGGGTGACAGGAGTCAAGTCAAATACTTGAACCAGGGAGATAGCAGACGGATTCTACGAGGTAAGAAAGAGAGAGTGATAAGACCTGGGGAAGGAGGTCTGTGCAACAATATAGCAGACTCTGATTAACAGTCCCAGCACAAGGATGAAAAAGGGATGAGAACGCCAGCGTTAAGTGTAGAGGGTTCTCATGAAAGCCGCGCAAAAGGACACACCACACTAGATCTACATAAGCACGGTAAAGATTGTAATAGTGAAGGCGAAACACGAGGATATAGGAAATGTGAATAGCCCATGACAGAATGAGAGATGCCACAACTGTTAAGCACATATTTGGTATAAGGACCGACTTCATTTGTCTCTTTGACGAATTGTAGTAAGGTGCTAAGAATGACAAGAATCACTGACGATGCCGACGGATCGTCTGGGAATGTACAACGTCCACGATCCGACTTTTGGAAATTATCATGCATACAATAGACTCTGGACTAGGTGCGTTCCTTAGTCTTTATACCAATGTGACCAAGTTGCGAAAACAAGGTCAAGCAACTTCTATAAATTTTTTCAGTTATATAAAGAAAACTTTAATTATCACAACGGAACACAAGAAATGGAGAAAATGAAAAAAAATTAAATTCAATATTCAAGAATTATAATTAAAATGTTTGCCATATCTTGCTTGCCTTTCATTTTTAATAGTGCATGAAATAAATCAAAATTGAATAAGTAATTAGGAGATTCAATATATAAAGTCGCATTTATTTCATGGCAATCATATGAAATAAAAAATATGTACCTTAAGCCTTAAAATGACCTCTTTGAATAGTGAAATGATGTCAATTAGCTCTTTGACCCGAATGTCAAGATTGGTGGAACTACAGATATGCTCGATGTCACCAGACATGTAGAACCAAGGAAAAATCTGAGGAACTGAAAGTTTCAGATTCTCCACTAGCATCAGAATCGCTTGCGTCTCTTCGTCCATGTCAGAGTCGATACTGATTCCATGGCTAGATAACTTAGCTGAAATCCTCGATTGTTTGGTAATATTTTTTGAAAAAACTTCCTTCAAGTTAGATCTGCAAACAAACTCATTGCTACCGAGTAAAGAGGTGTCGCC